GATTACTCGTCGTCTTCGCGTGAAATCTCGACGCTGGCGGCGCCAAGGCCTGATGATTTCGTTCTTGCATTGCCCATTATCCGAGAGAGGGGGCCGGCAGCAGGGGGCGAAGCCCTTACGGATAAACCTTCTCGGACAAGAGCGGAGGGGGCCCCACTCTGCCGCCGGCCCCCCCCCCCCTCAAGGTCTCAAACGGCCCGGGGACGACCCAAGGGCGCTCCAAGCCGGACCTAGAGAGTCCCGAGCAGTCCAAGAGAGCCTCCAGACGGCTCCATATCGCTCCAAGACGCCAAAGATGGCCTCCAAGACGGCCCAAGACGCCTCTACGACGGCCCAAGAGGCCTCCAAGAGCACCCCCAAGAGAACCCCAACATGCCAAAATCATTGATTTTTCAATGGTTTTTGAAGGATTTTCGCGTTCTCGCCATTTCGGCGTACCCACGCTCCAAGACAGCCCAAGAGGCCCCCAAGATCGCCCCAGGACGGCCCAACAAGCCCCCTAGAGGGCTCCAAGACAGCGCAAGAGGACCCCAAGACAGCCCAAGAGGCACCCAGAACGGCCTAAGAGAGGCCCCAGGACGGCCCCAAGAGGGCGCTCAGAAGGGGAACACGAATGAACATTTTGAGCTTTCGGTCCCAAGAGGCCCCCAGGGGGCTCTTAGAGGCCCCCAGGAGGCCCCCAAGAGGCTCCAAGAGAGCCCCCAAAGGCCCCAAGAGGCCCCCAAGAGGCTCACAAGAAGCCCCCAGGAGGCCCTCAAGAGGCCCTAAACTCCCCCGCAGAGGCCCCGAGAGCCCACTCGAGAGATCCAAGAAGCGTCCACGAGGACTCCGACCCAAAACCCAAGCACGGTGGCGGGATGGGCCGCGCCACGTCACGACTTTCGATGCTGCGCGATCTTCGGCAAACTCCCAGGGAGCGGCCGGTGATGCGCCGCCGGCGTCCTTGATAAACCTTCTCGGACAAGAGCGGAAGCGCCGATTTTGTCTGTTGGGCTCGTGTGGGAGACAGAAGAAAAGGACGATGACGACGACAAGGCGGCAAATGACGAGGTTGACAGCGCGGATGACGGGAAGGGCAGCGAGGGAACAGGAGGACAACGAGTAGGAAGACAAGCACGAGGACGAGGAGGAAAAGATGGAGAACGAATAAGAGGAGGAACGAAATGGAGGAGGAGGAGGAGGAGGAGGAGGAGGAGGAACAGAGAAGAAGGACGACGACGACGACGACAAAGAAGGACGGCAAGGATCCCGAGGAAAAGGACGTCGAAGAAGGGGAGGGGGTCCTCGTGATTGTTTGAAGCTACCCTGGGGGGCTGCTGGGGCCTTCTGAGGCTATCTTGGGGCATCCGGGGGGCCTCTCGGGGGCATGTCAGGGCCCTCTTGGGGGCTACTGGGGTCGTCTTGGGCTGACTAGGCGTGTCTTGGGGTTCTGTGGGGGCTCTCTCAGGCCGCCTTGGCGCCACCTTGGGCCGCCTTGGGCCGCCCGGAGGCCTCCTGGAGCACTCTCGGGGGCCTCTTGGGGCCCTCTTCGGGTCGGTGCCCTTTTGGGCCACAGTGGGCCCCTCCAAGAGCGATTCCACGACGGTGTTGATGCGGAGCCCCCTCCGAAGCCATTGTCTCGAAGATGTCCCGAGCGAAACGGAAGTGCTTCGGAAACCTCTCCTGACATGTGCGGGAAGCGCGTGAAAGCGAAGAGCTGTGCAAGAACGTCCAGCACCAGCACGATCAGCTGAAATGTGGGCGAGCTCTCCGAACGTCAACAGGGGATACCTGTGGACGCGCGCTCCCCGAACGTTCACAAGCCTGTTGTTCCTGGTGATCCTCCTCACTCTTCTGTACTCCTCCAGTTTCCTCCGCCTCGCCCTCGCGTTCATCATCATCTTTATCAACATCACAGTCACCATCACCACCACCACCATCACGTCATCATCGTCATCATCATCGTCATCGTCATCGGCAGCAGCAGCAGCATCAGCAAGAGCATATCATCACCAGAACCATCATCATCATCAATGTCACACGCATCAACAACACCATCAGCGCAGGCATCAGCTATGGTATCATCAACGGCATCAGCATCAGCAGCAGCATCATCACAATCATCACCATCAACGTCATCATCGGCACCGACATCATAATATGATGAGTTCGAAAGCCCGCTCGAAGGAGTTATTCCCCATGTTGTGAGGATGTCTCAGGCGAAACGCGCAGTGTTAGCATAAGACGTCATAAACGATAGCCTCCAACATCTGGTGTGAGAATGTCCCTCATTCAACCCCACTAGGGCCCCAGGGGTGGCCCGAAGAAGCCATCCAAGGCCACCCGAATGCTCCCGGAGAATGCTCTATTCACCCTGGTTGCCCGCTTTGTTTCACTGCATGTGTCTCTTCGTCACTTTTCCCGTCAGCTCTCATGGGCAGGATTTCTGAATGGGCTGGTGGGAATGCGCGAAGCGCGAAGAATAAACAAAAAGCACAGAAGCTGCTCTGGAGAATGTGTGCTGGTTCACGCGCGAATTACCACCACTTCCACAACGACGTTGAGGTTCAAGGACTTCCCGAAAAACCGTCCAATAACCGCTGACCCCCCCCCCAAAAAAAAATAGAGTAGACACTACGAGTGTGCCGCCAGACCGTCGGGGTCAGCACCGCGGTGATCTTCACGTGGACGGTCTCGGTCTCCACGTTGTCGCAGTCGCACGGCGTCGTCGTTTCTGGCGTCGTAGCCTGCGGCGAAATCGTCTCGGGCGCAGCCGTCTCTGGCGTGGTGAGCTGCGGCGTCGTGTTGTCCGCCTCGGAGGCGAGGGCGTCCTCTGGCTCACTGCCGCACAGGCCGCACGACTTGCGGCAGTTGCGGACCAGGGCATTCTCGCCGTCCTGCGCGGGGCCCCGACTCTTCCCCTCGTCTCCGCAGAGGGCAGATGCCTGGCCACCACGACCGCCACCACCATGCCTGTCGCACCACCCTCAGTGCCTGGCCAGGGCAGTCCTGGGCCCAAGGACGGCGCATTGGCCCTGGGGGCCTCGCCCAGGGGGGCGTGCGCACCATGCCAGGGTCTGGGATGGCACTGGCCAGACAGGGTGGTGGTGCATGGGCGGCCCCTGCGTGCCCCAGCTTTGCGCTTCGCGCTGCGCGAGGCGCGACCCGCGCTCTCCCTCTCCCTCTCTCTCTCTCTCTCTCTCTCTCCCTCCCTCTCTCTCTCTCTCTCTCTCTCTCTCTTTCCGCGCCCTCGCCCCCCCCGACGAAGGGCAGCTCCCCAGCCCAACGACACCGAGGAGAGGAGCGCGGTTGCTGCGCGCCCCTGCGAGTTGCCCGGGTGGGCGGAGCGGGAGCGCGAGAGGGGGAGGCGGGGGGCGGAACGCGCCTAGCAATGTCTCGTGCGGCCACCGCAGCCCCGCTGCAGCAGCATTCACGGGCTGGCGCCGCCCCCAGCGCCAGCGAAGAGGGGGGGAACGTTTCGGGGGAGCACCTTGCCATCGCTCGGACGTCCACTCCCCGTGCACTGTTCGCTTCCGTCCGTGCTCTTTGCTAGCAGATGATCCAGGATGCTCTTCGGTGGTCCTCGCCGAGAAAAAATGCACACGTCCGAGCGATACCAGGGCACAAGGGGAGGGAGGGCAGGTTCCAGGGGGTGGAGCGGGAGGTCGAGGCAGAGGCGAGAGAGGGCAGGGCGCGGAGCGCAGGAGAGGGCAGCGGAAGCAGGCGGCAGAGGGGGGAGCACGAGGGAGGACGAAAGGAGAGGGAAGAGAGGGCAGGACAAGAAGTACGGGGGACGAGGAGCACGGCATGCGCGGGCGAGGAAGGGGAAGACGAGGTGGGAGAAGGGCGAAAAGAGAGGACAGGGGAGGACGAAGAAGGGATGTGTTTGGCTGCAGCCTTGGGCGGTGCGCCGAGCTTCGGGGGATGGATGGCGGGAGGAGAGAAGCGGGATCAGAGAGGAGGGAGACGAGGGAGGTAGGAGACAGGAGGGAGCAGGGAGGGAGGGGAAGGGGGAAGGAGGTGGGAAGGAGGAAGGGAGAGAGGGAGGCAGGGGGATGGGGGAGGGGGTGGGAGGGGAAGGCCTCCTCCTCCTCCCCCTACGTCTCCATCCTGCCACGAGGGGGGGAAGAGATAAGTGACATCAGGGCGAAGGGAGCAGAAGTGGGGGAGGGAGGGGGGGAGGGAGGGGGGGAGGGGCGGGGGAGGAATGGGCCTGAAGAGGAGAAAGGCTCAGGGCGAAAACGGGGAGAGGAAGATGGAGGGCGAGAGCGGGGTTCGGGAGAAGCAGGCAGCAGCAGCAGCAGCAGCAGCAGCAGCAGCAGACCCCACCCCTGGGTCCTGGGAGAAGCCGATATCCTCCGTGGCCCTGAGGGGACGACGCCAACTAACTGTGCGCCGAAACCGAACCTGCATGATCGACGCACACGACCACCTGGCATTGCCAGGACGGCAGGTGCGCCAGAACGGGCATGGCTGGGATCGGTGCATGCGTATAGATACGTTCCCCGTAAAGGCTCGGGCCCAGGGTTCTCTTTTGGTACGCGTGCCTTTGGCCCTAGACCGGAGGGGTGTCGAGTAGGCGGTGTGCGGAGGGGTAAGCCCAACATGCGTCTCAGCACGAATACGTTTGGTGTGCCTTTTCACATGTTTCAAGTGGAGCATCCAACATGCGGCCCCCGACTTCTTCACACGTGATAATACGTTCGCGGATGGGGGCACGCAACATGCGCCTAGCGCATGCCCGTTTGGCACGTGTCTTCACACGTACAGACTCGAAGGTACGGCATCCAACGCATGATCTTCGCACGAAAAAGACAAGTGCACGGAGGGGGGACCCAGCATGTGCCTTGCGCGTGCGCGTTTGGCATGTGTTTTCAGGTGTGCCGGTGCCAAGGGGGCATTTAACATGTGATTGGAGAGCTCTGCACACGTAAGCATACGTGCACCCAACGGAGACACCCAACATGCGCCTGGCGAGTGCACGTTTGACATGTGCCTTCACCTGCGCAGGTAAGAAGGCATCCAACACGAGGAAGAATACGAGGAGGCCCAAGAATGCCCCGGAGGCCCCAGGCGGAGAACGGGTACTTTGAAGAAGTCTCCAGCGAAAGACAAGGACCACGCAAGAGCCCGCAGCATAGCACATCACATAATCCGCCACCGTGCTCTGAGGTAAAAATGGGAGTGTCCTCAGATCCCTTAGAGCTCTCTATCATCAATCCTGAGGGTGCTTAAAGGGGCCCATGGCCTGGAGATCAGAGCGCTCTTGGGCACTCCTGGGCGCTATCGGGCGCTATCGGGCACTCCTGGGTCTTCCCGCATAACTTCTTACGAGCCACGAGAGGCCAAGACTGGCCAAGAGGGCCCAAGAGGCCCCCGAGAAGGGCCAAGAGGGCCCCGAGTCAACGAACGATTGCTCCAAGACGCCCAAGATGAGGCCCCACAGGGAAAACGAGTCATATATTTCGAGCCCTCCGCCCTAAGACAACCTCCGCGACCGCCAGCAGGCCCCAAAGAACCCCCGCTGGAGCTCCAGGAGACCCCAGCCCAATGCAGGCCCCAAGGATGCCCCCAAGAGGCCCCCAAGAGGCTGCAAAAACACACCCTGACTGCCTTCAAGAAGCTCCTGAGAGGCCTCCCAAGAGGTCCCCTCAGGCATTCAAGAGGCCTCTACACCACAACAAAGGCACGGTGGCGCGAAGGGCTTATTGTCACAAGATTTAATACGGAGATGTGGCACACAATCGTACAGGCTGTAAATCTGCATGTGGAAAACTCCTTACCAGGCCCGTGAATCTCGTACATTTCGCCTTCCAGAGGAACTCTCCACCGTTGCCTCAGAAGTCCTCGGGACCGGAAGCCTTCTGTCGGGCACACGTTAACGTGGATTCTGGATCTGTCAATCTGGCGCGTGGGCGCCAGATGTACGGATCGGTCAACGGTGCCCCCGAGACATCGCGCCGGCGCTGTCCCATTTAGCGACGGAACGCCCCGATTGCGCACAGAAGCTGTAACCGCCGCTAGTGCACGCGCCTGAAATCCATGCTCGCACTTCCTCTAATGCATGGTCGGAGGCAAGTGCAGGGATGAAGGCGGACCACGGGACACGCTTGAAAGAAGAAGAAGAAGAAGAATAACAAAAAAAAAGTTGTTTCGATATTTATATATATAAATGTATATACATAAATATATACTTAAAAAAGAAGAAGGGAAAAAAAGAAAAATAACAATCAAACAAAACAAAACAAAACAAAAAACCACAACAACAACAACAACAACAACAACAACAACAGCAGCAGCAGCAGCAGAAACAACAACAACAACGACAACAACAGCAGCAGCAACAACAGCAATAACAACAACAACAATAACAACAACAACGGTAGCAGCAGCAACAGCAGCAGCAACAACAGCAACAACAGCAGCAGCAACAACAACAACAAAAACAACAACAACAACAACAACAACAACAACAACAACAACAGCAACAACAATAACAAAACAAAACAAATAAAACAGCAGCAGCAACAACAACAACAACAGCAGCAGCACTTTGATTGAGAAAAACAGTCTGCATCGGTGAGGGGGATCAACAATTATGATTCTTCAGAAAAAAGAATTCAACAGCAACAACAACAACAACCACAACCACAACCACAACCACAACAACAACAACAACAACAACAGCAGCAGCAGCAACCGCAGCAGCAGCAGCAACAACAACAGAAACAACAATCATTATAAGACTGTTCGCTCTTACTTGCCCGTGTGTCACTCAAAACGAGTTCCCCACACCCTCGATACCCGCCCTTTTTGTCTTCGATCACACCCCCTGTGAGGGGGAATATTTCTCTTTGCGGGGGGGCGGCGTGCTTAGAGAGGCGGGCAAACCTGAACGGGCGGGCAATCCTTCGTGGGCGTACATGTGCCCACCATTGGAATTGGTGTGGGCCCCGCAAAAAGAGGAGGGAGAGAACGAGGGAGAGTGGGAGGAAGGGAGGGGGAGGGACGAAGGAAGAGGGAAAACGCCAGGAGAGAAGGAGCGAAGACCAGATAAGAGAGGTAGAGAAAGAGAGAGAGAGAGAGGGGAGAAAGAGAAAAAGAAAGAGGGAGGGAGGAGGCAGGAGAGGAGAGGAAGAAGGGAGGAGGGAGAGGAGGGAGAGGGGATAGGGCAGAGAGGCATAAGGATGAGGAAAGAGAGGAGGGAGAGAGAAGGGAGGAGAGGAGGAAGGAGGGAGGAGGGAGAGGGAGGAGGAGCAGGAAGGTAAGAGCGTGAGCGTTCGAGGATGTCCTAAGCGAAAGCGCCGTTCCTGGAGGAAGTCTCGGGCGGGAGCCCACGACGGGAGGGCGATCCCCTGACGGGCGGGTCGGGCGGGTGGGACATTCAAGCGGGATGCCTGAGTGTGGCGAGTGCGCGCTTACTAAGTAAATTGTAACGGCGTCCTTGGCGCAGCGTGTTTCCTGAGCGTCGAAAATGCGATGTCTGAATAAATTTCATGGAAGTCACAGGCGAGAGCACAA